GTGCCGGGTCCCGGCTACTTTATAGATGCAGTGCGGGTCCCAGACTAAAGCCCTGCGTGCTGAAATTGTTCTATGCATATTTAGATAACGCGCGGCCTTTGAACAAACATACTCAGCTTGATCATTCAGGAGAGAAGAGTGCCCAGACTGTGCACCCACAATTAGCGTGTGTGTGTTTCTTTCTTTCATTTTTCTTTTTCTTTTTTTTTATGAAATTTTAAAAACAAATTGAAAACCTGTGACTCTGGTAGAATCCGTTAAAATTCCATGACTTTGTCGTAGTAACTTTTTCAGTGTAAAAAAATGTAACATTGCAAAATTCTAATTTTGAAGTTCTCCGATTGATCAGAAGTTTTCATTCTGAAGTGAAAAGTTTGCATCCACGGACAAAGTGGAAGGTGTGTTTTATTCACTCTTTTACCTTGGGAATTTTGGTGCAGGTAGTAAAAAAGGATCTGTCAAGATCGCTTTTCTTTTATTGATAAAAATTCATTTATTTATTTTTTGCATATGACACACAGTTTCAAATAGTTTCTCCTTTTACTCTCCCCATTCAGTGTGAATACCTTTTCAGCAGCCACATGAGAGGAACAGTGTTTGAGGAAAAAAGAAAATAAGTCAAATTCTTCTAAGTAGAAGAAAAAAGTTCCCAACAACAGCCAGACTTTCTCTTTGTAAGGCAACATCAGTTGGTTTCTTGCAGACATGATCTTTCCAGGTTTTAGGTGTTCTGTCTTTTAAATATTGAACTCTCTCTCTCTTTTTTTTAATCAACCAGCCCCTTAAAGTGATCTGCAAAGAGTGGGAAATTAGATTTTCGATTAAAACCTTATCCCATCTCGAAGGATTACTTTATATTGATTCTTAAATATGGCTACAATTGATGGGCTCTAATTAAAAATCCAAAGGAAAAGTCTGCCGTGCCCGTATAAAAGAAGCTTTTCATATACGGGAAATAAAGCTTGTAAAAGGTTACAAATAAAAGATTAGAGATTTATCCAAACTAGTTTAAAGCTTCACTGTGGTTTTCTTTTCTTCTTTTTTTCCTTTCTCACAAAACCATTCCTGGGTCTTTTTTCCTCCAGTTTTAAATGAAGTTTGCAAACAGGCAAGATATTGGACTGTAATGGTTGTTTTATATCAGCTCTGTAAGCTCAAGGCTGCTGCCTGCAGTAGAATTGATTTCAAGGAAACTTCAGTGCCAGGAGATGAAAATTATGTAAACTGACAGTTACCACCCTTCATCAATCCATCCACATTCCCGTCCACACCCTCCAACACCACACACACACACACACACACACACACACTCGGGAATCTCTCCCTCTCACACTCACACATGCCCTTCCTGCCCCTCACCCTAACCTTGCTCAGTACACACCCTAGGTCCCCACACTCCCAGGGACAGACACAGAGTTCCCAGCTCACACTCAGCTCATAAATGTCTCCCAGCCCCACATCTTGCACTTGTCACACAATCTTAATCCATTTCATTCCGGAGCTACGTGGTCCTCTTTTTTTTTTTTTTTCTCCCCCATTTGGAGTTTGCCTCCTACTCTTCTATGAAGACAGTACAACCCTATCTTTGAAGTTGTTTCTCCCTCACTCTTTTCTGAGGCATCTGTGATGCCTGAGGAATGAGTGACCCAAGCTTTAATTCCTAGGTGATCTCCCGCCTCACATTCTCTCCCCACCCCAAGTCCTGCCTGCATTGCCAAGCATAGACCCTCGTTAAAAAGATTAATCAAAGTGAGTCTTGTCAAAGTTTGTAATAAAGACATATCTAAAAACCAAATGAAAAATGACTCCTTTCTAAAAATCGTGGCAGTTCTGGGCAAAGCGTGCTCCCCGGCTGTCCACCGAGAAGACTGGAAATTAATCTTTATATTTCTGAAGTGAGGGGCTCCTTCCCCCCCAGAGGCTGGAAATTCTCAAGGAACATGGGTTTTGTTCTTCTTTTTAATTAGTCTGGAAGAATCCTGAGATCGCTCCCCTTCCACTCCCCCTCCCCCACTCCCCACAACCATAGTTAATAAACTTGGATGAAAGTTTGGAATATGTTAAACTGGTCTGGCATGTCGGGTAGAGAAAGGAAGCCCACTTAGTGCCAGACATGCATCTAGATTTCAAAACATGAACATCAGTGATATTCTGGATGCCGTACAAAAGCTCTGACAAATCATTTGATTCCCCGTGTATATCAGTTTATATCTGAACATTTATATCTCCTCTGCATGGCAAAATAATTCTACACATGACAATTTAAAAAACTTCTACCTGTCAGTGAAAATTATTTACAAACACAACGCATGCTACCCATGAGTCGGATTTACAGAAAGCAAAATTCAAGACACGGGACATACACACAAACAAGAAGTTAAGCACGGACAAAAGACATGCAGTGAGCAGATAGTGAGTATATTGGAAGTTCAAGAACTTACTGGAAATCAAGAGTTAGACTTTTCATCCAAGGAGTCTTTTTCTCCCACCAAGCCCGCAAGGTTCTCAGCAGAACAGCCCAGCCCCCTCCCCCAAAGCCAGTGGCTTTTGTCCTGACCTAAAGAAGGGTTTGTGGAAACTGTACCTGCACCCGGCTGTCTGCAATTTCCAAATTGACAAGAAGAGACTGGAAGATAAAGAGCGTGTTCTTACAGGTGAAGAGCAATTTTGCAACTTTTCCAGGCGACACCCAGGAGAGAGCTTGCCTGCTACCAACTGCTGCACAGTCTGGGTAGAATTCCTCTAGAAAGAAAAAGAAAGTCTTTTTCCCCCCCCTGTCTGCATCTCTCTGTCTCTAGTTCTCTTTCTCCTCTCTGTCTCTCTCTCTCCCCTCGCTCGCTCGCTCTCTCTCTCTCCCTCAGATCCAATCTTTTAAGAGCTTCAGCACATTGCTAAGCTAAAGGGAAATTCTCTTTGATAAAGCGGTGTTTCCAGCTTCTGGGTTTTAAAAGCTAAATCTATATTCAAATCTGGCTGAAGGTGTGTTCTGGGATTTATGAAAGCCTCTTAAAGGGGTAAATTTACCAAACCGTGACAAAATCATCACAATCTTACTTTAGACATCTGAAGTGGATGAGAATTTTAAAGAGACCCTTGTTTATTTAACACTGTCCATTTCCAACTCGTGCTTTGCGGCCCCGCGTGTCTGCGAAGTTGGTAGAGAGGTCACAGGCAAGGCGGGAGCGGGCTGCGGCCGGTCCGCACCCCAACACGCAGAAATCTGCCTCTGTCCAGCGCTGCCCCGGGCCGTCCCCGCCACTCGAGAGCACACCGCACACCTCCACGGGCGGGACCCCACGCTCCACGGACCTCCCAGTGCGGGAGTTTTCACTCACGCCGAGGCGCTCGCCAGCGCGGGTTCTGATACTTCTCCTCCCTGCCCACCCCCACCGGCCCCAAGGCCTGGCTCCGACCCTTTCCCTCCGCCAGCCCCCACAAAACCCACTTTTCCTCCTCGCTCTTGGAAGCTTTAAACCGCAGAGTGATCAAACTTGGGGCGGGGTGGGGGTGGGCGCACACGGTCCTCCCTCGGGGTGGGAAGGCGAAGCCGCGGCGCGGGACCGCGGTGGGCTTGCCCTTCCTTCACCCCAAGCGTGGGGACCCAGAGGCGGCGCGCGCGAGAGGCGCCTGGACCGCCAGCGCCCCGCAGGCCGGACCGCCTGGGGCATTCGTCCCCCGCCACCACCACCCCCCACCCAGGAAAGGCCCCAGGGGCGGTCGCCAGGTGTTTCGGTGCAGTGGAGGCGGGGTGATCGCCAAAGGTCCGTACTCACCCTCCCCCCAGCCCGGCCCCTAGAAAGTCGTGACTCCTGGGGACGGGACTGCCAGCGGCTCTCTGGCGACTGGTGCAGCGGCGGCGGGAGCGGGAGGAGCCGCGCGGGGGTCTCGGCAGGCCGCGGGGGCCCCCAAAGCCCTCGGAGACACCCGCGAGGGGGGCGGCGGCCGCCGAGGGCCCGGCCCCGGGCCGAGCCGCAGGAGCCGGAGCCCAGCCCGGCTGCCGAGAGCTCGCCGCCTCGTGCGCACTCCCGTAATTCGTTAATTGCTGTAAATCCCAAGGACGGCCACATTTGATTACACATACAGTATAAGAACCGACAACAAAGCGACGAATTAATTACCGACTTCATTAACATAGGTCCCCAAATTAAAGGCAGCGAGCTGTTTCCTTGGGCCCACTCGCCGTGGCGGCTGGGGGAGGGGAGGGGGCTGCGGCGCCTTTTCCTGCTCTGGGAGCAGGGGGACCGAGGTGTCCCCGGCTCCCGCCACGCTCACCCCACCCCCACCCGCGCAGCCCCAGCAGCTCCACCCGGAGCTCCCCAGTACTCCGCCCCGTTGGCGTCTGCATTTCTAGAGACTCAAACGCGCTGGAAGCCGTCCGTGCCGGGCGGAACACTTGGGCTGGGGTCCACTGCCTCCGGCCGGGGTCCCCTGGCGCCCGCACTTCGCAGTCTCGGGTCTCCCGCCCGAGGAGCCGCAGGCCCGCGCCGCGCCAGGTCGCCCGCAGACGCTTGGGTGTGCGGGGCCGCCGCCCGAGTGGCGCACGCTCGCACTCCCACCAGGCCTGGTCTGTGTCTGGAGCCGGCCCCTGGGCTTCTCCATCCCCCCCACTCCCACCCCGCCTCCCCAGCCGCTTGCGGAGGAAGGCAGCGCGCCCCGGGCGCCGGCGCGGGGACCCGACGCGGGGAGGGGGGGTCTTGACCAAGGGCGTACAGCAGAGAGAGATTTGCAGAACAGTTTGCCCTTGGGGTGTGCGGCTCCCTTCCCCGCGGGCCCTGCGCTCCCTCGGGGCTCCCTTCCTAACCCCCCAGCCCGTGGGAGGCTCGGCGGCCGCGGTGCCAGGCCCGGCCCGGCCCGGCTCGGCCCGCTCCGGCCTCGGCCGCACCCCGCCCCCTTCCGCCTCGACGTGGGCATTTTCATCTCTGGCCCTAACGTTGTGTGGGTTTCCTCTCTCCCCTCAAACAACAAGAGAGAGGACAGGGGCCGAGGGAAGGAGTGACGGAAGACGGAGGCGAAGGAGGCGCGGGCCCTGCCTGTCCGTCATGTTCTTTATACACTTGGTTCACACGCCCCGGCCCGCAACGTGTGTTTTAAGCGGAGCCCGGTGTCTTTCAAGAACATTCTGGTAATGTCGGAGGCCTGGATTTGTTGCCTGCTCGTCCCCCCGTGCAGCAGCGGCCTGTTTTCCTCCCCCTGTTGTGTGTGTTTTTATTATTTTCCCTCTGGCTTAGATGTGTCAATCATTCTCTCCCTGCCATTGGTTGGATAGTTTGCGTCAAAAAGTTGCCAGAGAGGCGCTTTCTCAGCAAATCTCCCTGAGAGCGGAACCGGCCTCAGCTCCGACTCAGCCTGCACTGTTATGAAAAATAAAAAATCGCCAGCGCAGCCCTCACTCGCCACGTCCACTTTGTACGTATCGCACGGGGGCCCACGCGTGTTCCCAGCCCCGGCCACTGTCCGCATTTTCCGCTCTTTAAAAAAATTTTTTTTTTTGCTTCTGTTTGACTTTTTTTTGTGTGTATGTGGAAAGGGAAGACTGCACGGTTTCTAACGCAATACTCTTATTAATTTCTTTTAGGATAGCTGGCTACTTGGGATTTTGAAGGATAATTCGATTGCCCCCACCCCCTAACCTCCAATGCGGCTGTGAGGTAAGTGTGTCCGTCACCACCTGCCGGACCGGCCGGCGCGCCTCGGTCAGCGCGGAGCCCTTCTGAGGCTGATGCGGCTGTGTTGTTTTGTTTTGTTTTGTTTTTCCCTTACCAGTCTTGAGGTGTTACTCGTGAAGTGTTAGATCGCTGGGAAGATTTCGCCATCTGGAGAGGAAGGCGGGAGGGGAGGGAGAGAGCGTGTTCGCGGGGGTCGCCGGGGAGCCCCCGGGTCCGGTGTGGGGGCCTTCGCAGGGGTTTTTGTCCCCGATTCGGTTTTTATGTCCACGCGGCTTTGGTCTCCGCGCGATTGGGCGTTTTGGGCCCCAGTTTCCGGCTGATCCCAAGGACGTGTGTAGAGTCCGAGACAAAAAAAAAAAAAAAAAAAATGCAGATGTAGCTTGAGGAATGGATTCAAACGATCCTGAGGAAAAGGTAGGCGCCCCTGCGGGCTGCGCCCCGAGGCTCGGCTCGCTCGCCGGTCGGCCCCGGCCTGCGGCGCGGCCCCGGCGCCCGCCTGCTCCGCAGAGAACGCGAGCCGGGGAGCCGAGCGGATAACCGGGCAGGCGGGCGGCGCGGGCGTGCTCTCCGCCCGGCCCGGAGCTGCCCCGTTCTCGGCCTCCTCCCAAGGCCTCCTGGTCTCCCCTTCCTTTTTAATCCCCTTCCCCTCCCCCCCAAGTCCTGGGAGTGCCCCCCCGCCCCCCAACACTCCATCGGCGGTCGCGGTGCCAGACCCGGGCCCCCAGGCCGAACGGAGGTGCCAGCATCGGTTTTCAAGGCGGCTGAGCTCGGGCCGGTCCCGGGCCAGCCGCGCCGACCCTCGGCGCGCACCTGGGGCGGGCGGAAGCGCCGGCGAGTGGCCCCTGCTCCGCCCGAGGCCGCCCCGGGGCCGGGAATCCTCCCGCTCGCCGCTCCCTCCCCAGGCTCGAGGCCGAAGTGGGGCCGGGGGCCGGCTGGGGCCGAGGGGTGCGCCGAGGCCCTCGCCGCCTCTGCTCGCGGGCTGCGGGGGAAAGATCCGCGGTCAGGGGGCGCCGCCAACTCCGACGAAGTCTTGGAGCGGATGGGTGGAGGGGCCGTCCCTTTTGGGGGGACCCTGCGTTGGAGCCCCAGGCTCCCTCCTCGGCGTGCGGGACTAGTGCGCTCTGCCGGGTGGGTGGCCGGGCAGTTGCCCCGTCCAGGCCGGAGCTGCGGGGCTCTGGGTTTCTGGTGCTCGCCCCGGGACTTTGTTGCAGGCACGGGAGAGGCACTGGCGAGGAAAGCCCTCCCTCCGCTCGCCGAGCCGCCCGGGGCTGGCTCCCAACCTCCGCCAATAGTCAAGGCCAAGCCCGCCGGCGCGCGTCTTCCCCTCCCTCGCGGGGGCAGCGTCGCTCGATTCCCTCAGGCCACAAACTTTCCCTCGAGTTGGCCCGGGAGAGGCGCGCGGCGCTGCCGTCTGCGCCGCCCGCTCCCGCCGCGTCCACGCGGGCCCCCCAGCCGCAGGCCACGGTGGCCCCGTCCGCCTGGTGGTGTCGCCCCTCCGTCAGGCAGGAAATTAATCAGCCCGGACGAGCCGCGGCGCTGAGCACGGCGGCCTGTAATTAAGGGACGTGTGCCCCTCGGATTATCTCGTTAGTTTATCAAGAAAACATTTATTATAATTAATTCTCGGACGAGGTAATTATTATTGAGCGAGGACACAGCAACTGGTAGACGGGCTTCTTGGAAGGAGAAAAAAAAAAACATACACACCCGAGGGGGGGAGGGAGAGGGGGGAGGCGACAGATTGCACGAATTGACCGTTAGATATAAGGCTGCGCGGCCCGGCGCGGGCAGTGGAGCGGGACCTCGGCGCCAGCGCTGCGGGCCAGGGACCCGGGACCCAGCCGCTCGCGCCTTGGAGGTGTGGGCGCCACCGGCGACGGGGACTCGGCGCGCGCTCCTAGGTACGCGTTCTGCAGAGGCCGCGGCGTCTCGGGAGCAGGAGGAGGGGGCTTGTGCTTTTGAACAGGGGCTTTTCTCCCACCCCGGCCTGGACTGGATCGGGAGGGGAAGGGATGGAGAGGCGTCCCTGCTGGTCTCCTAAGTTAGACGCGGGAGGCCCACGGCCCCGTCCCTGGAGCAGTGCATCCCTGGCAGGCTGTGAGGGGACGTCGGGGTTTTGTGTTTGCTTTTCTTTCTCCCCTTTTCCTTTGAAAGGCGCATCCACGTGTAAAAGAGAACAGAGCCTATCCTGGGAATTTTAGCCATTTTGCCGGGGTTCTGGGCAAAGGAAGCCCAAGAAGGATCTTAGTGCTGTTGTTTACTGCTTGCTGTAGCTTTTTTTTTTTTTTTTTAATGTTGCATGTGCTACTTTATCGTAAAATGGCTCAGACATTTCTAATCGGGTAAGGGCTAAGGTGTCAGAGCGCTTCCACCTCTCTCGTGGGTACCGTCTGATGGGATTTTAGGTTTCTCTGTAGTACTTTGGAACTTTCCAAGGTTAGTAAGATTTTTATCCAACAAAAAGGGAACTCCGGCATAGAGGCTATTTAAATAAATAAATGACTATTTTAAAGCGATATTATTTTCTAAGGCTCCAAATCACGGCATCTTGAGAGGAAAACACAATATAATACCTTTGTTATAGGAGCAACTAGTTTTACCGATGAATAAACACGCACCCGCCCAAGAATGACATGTCTAAAATTACATTAATTAGATCCTAGGGTGGGGAAACATGACTTTTGTGCTCAGATTTAAATCAGGAAAAAGTTGTGGTTACCGAGCTCCATTTGTAGAACTCTGGGCCTTGATGTCTCCGGCTACGTAAATGGGAAAACCTGGGGTCCTTAAAACTCAGCAAGACCTTGGTAAAAAGTAAGAGAGAACCCCTAATCTTGTATCCGCCATTTTGAAGCAATCTCTCACAGTGTCAAAGTTCCAAAGTTAGAGATCCTTGCAGGCTGGGGCCACGGTTTTTTAGGAATATAAAGGCCAGGCTTGCAAACCACCAGCCTGCAGGAACATCTATTTTGGATCTCGGATCTCTTTGCTGAACAGGAGGGCGGGAGAACTCAGTGGAGGAAAGTCACTTTCTTTTTCTTCCTTTGTTTCCCTTGGAGTTCTTTTTCTTAATACAATTGTAGGAAACTTGGAAGGGAGGGAGAAAGCCTATCAGCTTTGCAACTTTGGGTGTTTGCGGGTAGGTACTTTCTTCTGAATTAAAACCTGCGGAGGACAGAGTTAACAGGGAACTGCGGCAGCTGCTGAGGACCCAAATGTCCGAAATGCTGCCCTCCTGCAGGAGCCCCCCCCCCCCATCAAGCTCAACGTGGAAGCGGCGTGCAGCACAGATGCAAGTCCTTTCTACTTGCAAATGTGGGGTCCTGTCATTATCTGATTGGTGGGATTCTAACTTTACTTGAGAATTTCTGCCAATCTTGGAGACGTTTTTGCTGTACGTTTAAATATTTGAGGGGTGTCGATTAAAAGTCAAATACTTGTTTGTTTAGCTCTAGTTCTTTAGACACATATAATCAAGGTTCTCCAAAACCCTAATAAATCTGTTACTTACCTCGAAATCTAATTACCCACACTACTAATTAGGTGAAAATGATTACTGGAAATGACTTCCAATGTGGAATAATAGTGGTTGAGCAGTTTTCTCAAGTTTGTTGCTTAAGCAAGTTGGTATTTTAGATGTTAAATGCACTGACATTTTAGGTTCGCAGCAGTGGAAAGTGGTAAAAAGCTAAGATAATTAAAATCTCTGCCACGGAAAGGCAACAGTCTGGGGAGAGGTGGATTTCTTGAATTGTTTCTTTGTTTCTCACCAATGGGCTTTGTTATCAGCATTATTTATTTAGCCAAAGAGTTCTTTGTCTCTGCAAATGGCCCCAATCAAGTTTTGTTTGAGACAATTAGCTAGTGCCAGCCAACGAGTCCTATGCAAATGTTGGGGGTCGGAATGCAGCGAGTGCGTTTGAAGGCTGGGGTTTTGTTCCTGGGGAAGGCAGATTGTAATTGCTTTCCTCGCGTACTTTTTTTTTTTTTTTTTTTTTTGTAAGTTTAGGCTGGGGGTGGGGAAGACAGGTTTATCTGGTCTTCCTCCATCCCCTCTAGTTCCAGAGCAGCTGAGAGTGAGCGGGTGGGGGCTGCCTCTGCTGTGCCTGCCCCGGGTTCTTTCCAAGTTATTGGTGGTGAACGCAGGAGAGCTGCGGCCGCCAAAGGAGTAAACCAGCAACCTCTGTTTGTTTGTTTTGCTTTGCTCTTAGTTCCATCACTGCAAACCCACCCACTGAGGACCCTGAACCTGTCCTCCCCCGGCGAATCTAGACCTTCCGGCTGGGTGCCCCCGATCTGGGCCGACTTTGTGCCACCAAACAACCTTAGCATGATGTCTTATCTCAAGCAACCGCCTTACGCAGTCAATGGGCTGAGTCTGACCACTTCGGGAATGGATTTGCTGCACCCCTCCGTGGGCTACCCGGGTAAGTGCGCCCTGCGTCACGCCTGCTCTCCCCACCCCAGCTCCACGCGACGTCCCCTCTGGGTTTATTCTTCCGAAGCAGCAGCTTAGAGCCACCGGGCATTTGCTGACCCGGGAGAGAACAGGACTGGGGAAGAAGCGAATAGGTGGGACAGCAACAGTTACAGGAAAACACACCGTTCCCCTCTTACTTCGAATGAATGGGGAAAAGGCACGGAGATGGAGCAAGGAGGGGTTCTAGCCTTATCTCCCTGCCGGGTTCCTCCGCCGCGCGCTCCTGGAGGGGCCGGGTTTTCTCGCCCCCAGGCCTTTGCGGTTCTCCCCGCCGCGCCCAGGGATTCCCATCTGACATCCAGGCCCTGAGCCTTTAATCCCAGGGGGTGTGACTTTGCCCCGGTGCGGTGCTTTCCCTTCCGCCCAGATTTGTTTTTCTAAAATCCTCGTATCCGTAAGAACTATGTCCCCATTGTAAAGATGGAGGGAAGAGCCCTTGGAACGTTAAGAGCCTTGGGAGCCGGATGGAGGCGCGCGGTCATTCCCGGAATGACATTTTTGTTTGTGCTATGGGTTGGGGGTTGATTTTGGAGCTTGGGTTGGTTCGTGTCCCTTTGATTTCGTTGGTTTTGTAAGCTTTCGAAGTGAGGGTCTGCCGGGGGCGATTTCCAAAGTCAGGCGGAGAAGAGGCCGCTCCTGGAAGGGGCAGCGTGTCAAGGGCCTGGGGTGCCGAGGCCCGGCCAGGGCGGTGGAGAGCGTTGGTGGGCTCGGGGTTGACCGACTGGGAGGAGCGGGCGCTGGGGGCTGGGGGAGTCGGAGGGCCCCGCAGCCCCAGTGACTGAGAAACTGCTCCCCCACCCTAAAGGGCCCTGGGCTTCTTGTCCCGCAGCCACCCCCCGGAAGCAGCGCCGCGAGCGGACCACGTTCACCCGCGCGCAGCTGGATGTGCTGGAAGCGCTCTTCGCCAAGACTCGGTACCCAGACATCTTCATGCGCGAGGAGGTGGCGCTGAAAATCAACCTGCCCGAGTCCAGGGTACAGGTAGGGCAGATGCTGACGGCTCCCCTTCCTGCCCGCGCCGCCCCTCCCCCAAGCCTGGTGTGAGTGGAGGACCCAGGAGAGCCCCAGGTCTGGGCCTCGACAAAGGAAGGCTTGAAACACTAAACAGCCCGGGGAGGAGGGCGGGGCCTGGAGGCCTTTTTACCTTCCCTCCCACCCCCACCTAATCCTGTCAGCAAGGGTCTCCTGGCCCAGGTGGCCAGCAAGGTAAGAGGGGGCGATTTAGCTACAGAGATAAAGTCCCAGCGCCTCTGCTCTTCAGTTGACAGAGTCCCAGCCCTGGGCAGATTTCAAGGGTGGTCACAGGGTATTTAACTCTTGCCTTTCCCTAAGTGGAAATCTCCCCTATTCTCATGGACTTTTAAGGGTTGGAAAAATTTACCCCTAAATATTTTCACAGGTGGGAAATATTTTCATAGATGAAGAAATAGAGTGACTAGCTTGCTCAAGGTCAGACCTAGGTTTGGAAGCAGAGCCAGACTGTAGAAGTAGCTGGTGCTTTCCCAAATAAATGAACACCCTAAGAGTGTGTTTCCTTTGACTCCTTAGGGATTGAATAGAATTTGCTAGCTCTAGGTCATTTAACAGATGAAATAGCTACATAATATCCTTGGTGACATTCCACACCCGTTCTCTCCCAGTCAGTCTTCCTAAACTTTGACCCTAAGCTGGAGAGGAAAAGTCAATTCCAACTTGCCTCCGGAGCAAGTCCCACATGGAGTTCTTTTGAAAGAGCATTTAGCACCTAAGCCACATACACACCTGGGACACTTCTTCAGCTAGGACGTGTTGTTGGAAGTGTCAGAAGTGACAGACGCTGGTGTGAACTGTGAATCAGGAGAGAGGCTCTGGTAAAGTGGGCTGGAAGGAGTTTAGCACCTGTGAGGTTGAAGCAACATCCTCACTGGAAGAAAACACTTGGTTCTGAATGGTTGGCGTTGAACTTGGCCTTGGTGGCACGTCTTTTCCCATGGCCATGGCACCCATGTGGAGAGTTCATTCAGGAGTACAACTAAGGACCAGAAAATGCCAGAAGTTACTCCCATCAGCCCCCTCACCACCGAGCACAGCCTCTTCACAGAGCATGTAGATGGCTGCTCAAGAGAATTTTCCAAGTCACAGGCAGAGGAATCAGTTGACAAGCCGTCGAGCATAGGTCAGGGTACAGTCTACGTCCTGAGTGGCATGGTGTTGAAGGCACAGACTCATGTCTGGGAGACAGTAAAGAGGTCTGACTCCAGCCCAATGCAGGGGATGCGTACGCTATGCCATTTGCCACCAAGCAGCCTTTAGCAAATGATGGCTCCCAGACCTCTTAGCTCAGCGGGATCCTGTCTTCTCCTTGGTGCTTTCTGCTGTGAATCTTTCTAGAAGAGACGAAAAGTGGGGTGAGGGGATCAGCCTTGGTTTTGCCAGTTGCTCCCTGGAGGGTGGACTGTGTGCTATTTGGGTCTGGATCGTTCTTGTTAGCATGCAGTGATGGAATTGTTTCTCCTCACTTCTCTTGTGTTTCTCTCCAGAAGGCATTGATGCATTCTATTTCATTGGGAGAGTATTCCATAATAGAGTTGGATCACTGTGTGTATGTGCATTGGAGTTGAAAAAGGATAAGAAAGGGATGTGGAGAATTTTTAGCCATCTGATCTGGGGGATTGTCTTAAATTGTATTGTTCTGGGCTAGGATTAAAACAGGTTTCAGTGCTTGTAGACACAGCCTTTCCAACTTTCTTATAGTTCCAGGAGAACATATGGGAATGTCACATAACAGGTCTTCAGAGCCAGGGACACTGTCTGCCTAGCTCATCAAGGACAGATATATAAGCTGGGAGCCACTCTTATCCTTTAAGAATTATTGAAATCACGTTAAAAGAAGTTTCTTTCCCTTTCAAGGTGTGGTTTAAGAACCGAAGAGCTAAGTGTCGCCAACAACAGCAACAGCAACAGAATGGTGGTCAGAACAAAGTGAGACCTGCCAAAAAGAAGACCTCTCCGGCTCGGGAAGTGAGTTCAGAGAGTGGAGCAAGTGGCCAGTTCACTCCCCCCTCTAGCACCTCTGTCCCGACCATTGCGAGCAGCAGTGCTCCTGTGTCTATCTGGAGCCCAGCTTCCATCTCCCCACTGTCAGACCCCTTGTCCACCTCCTCCTCCTGCATGCAGAGGTCCTACCCCATGACCTATACTCAGGCTTCAGGTTATAGTCAAGGATATGCGGGCTCAACTTCCTACTTTGGGGGCATGGACTGTGGATCTTACTTGACCCCTATGCATCACCAGCTTCCTGGACCTGGGGCCGCCCTCAGTCCCATGGGTACCAATGCAGTTACCAGCCATCTCAATCAGTCCCCAGCTTCTCTTTCCACCCAGGGATATGGAGCTTCAAGCTTGGGTTTTAACTCAACCACTGATTGCTTGGATTATAAGGACCAAACTGCCTCCTGGAAGCTTAACTTCAATGCTGACTGCTTGGATTATAAAGATCAGACATCCTCGTGGAAATTCCAGGTTTTGTGAAGACCCATAGAACCTCTTTTTGTGGGTGATTTTTAAATATACTGGGCTGGACATTCCGGTTTTAGCCAGGCATTGGTTAAAAGAATTAGATGGAATGATGCTCAGACTCCTCTGATCAAAGTTCCAGGAGGCATAGAAGGAAAAATGGAGGGCCTTAGAGGGGCCTGCCAACCAGCAACCTGAAATGGACAAACCAATCTACTTAAGATCCTGTCATAGTTTTAGATTATTGGTTTTCCTGATTTGCAGAGTGATCAAAAGCATTCTAGCCATGTGCGACCAAACACCACCAAAAATAAACAAGATGAAACAAAACTAAGCTGTGAGAGAAGGGAGGCAAGGGCCTAGCCTTCTTAAACAGAGGTGTTCCAATGTTTTAGCCAATCCTTGGTTGAATCTTAGGAATGAACAGTGTCTCAAGCTCATTCACGTTTCATGACCAACTGGTAGTTGGCACTGAAAACCTTTTCAGGGCTGTGTGAATTGTGCGACTGATTGTCCTAGATGCACTACTTTATTTAAAAAAAAATAATGTTCATAAGGAGTCAATATGTAGTTTAAGAGACAATCAGTGTGTGTCTTATATAAATGGTACATCTGTGGTTTTTAATCTGTGCTAGACTTCAAAACTGTGATCTCCTGTTCTTGTATGCAACCATGAACTCCACCTCTGCAGGAGTTCTTCTGTGATTAAATAGGTAATAATTATAAGCAAAATTCAGAGCAACTGAGTGCTACCTAAAAAAGGATTACCTGTGGCTGGAGGTGAGCTGCACTGAAACTTCCTGGCGTCATGTCTCTGGACAAGGAGAGTAAGAAGAGAAGCAAGGACGCTAACTCCTCTGTACTTTACTGTTGGTAAGCCTAGCAGTGAAGAGACGTTGGTCAATTGCTCTGACCCTGATGCTTTTTTAAATTGAGATCGTTGTTGTTTATGCTTGCAGATGTTAACTGGAAAAGTTATATATGCATAAACCTTTTCTTCCTGGATTTGGCAGATCTGTATAATTATATTAAAATGGTTCTAGCACAATGTTGGGTCCCGTTTAATTTGCACCATTGTTTTTGAATGAGAAGCCTGCATTCGGCCTCTCCTCCCAAAACGTTTGTGTTAGGGCAGAGAGGCAATTAGCAGACTTTCTTTTTACTTTTAATTTTTTGGCTCATCTGTGGATGAACTAGCTGTGGGTGACAACGGTGTGTAAACTTCTCATGACTCATCAGGATGGCTCAGAAATGGCATTTCCATTTAGGATCCTGTTCCCCCTGTTTTTCCTTCCCTGCCACAAATCTGAACTATTTCTTAGGCATTTGGTTTTTAAAAATAGATCATTTCTTTTTCTTTCTTTCTTTCTTTCTTTCTTTCTTTCTTTCTTTCTTTCTTTCTTTCTTTCTTTCTTTCTTTCTAAGCAAGGGGGGAAGAACTGGCGTGTCTCCGAGAAACTGAGAATGACAAGAATTTCTTGTTTCCATTCTCTTATTTGGTTCAGGGGGTTTTCTTTTAACTTCCAAAAAAAATCTGAGGTAAACATGAGAGGGAGTGTAATCAGAATCTGAAAGCAATTCAGGCAGAAATGATTTCTGAACAAAAGAGTTTCAGAAAAGTTTTAAAACCTATAATTTTAGTAGTTGAACATAAGGTACCCTGGTCAGATTTTTTTTTTAAAACAGTGCTGCGGAGAAAGATTGGGTCCCCTTTCCCGGTGTTTTATTGAACTAGTGACCAGGAAAGACAAGGGACCCAGGACCATGGGCTCCTCCAGTAAAAGCAACATTTAATTTCCTTTTGCATTTCTCATGCCCTTAAACTGGATCCAAACTAAGTGACTTTTGCTTGGAACTTTAGCTGTGCTGGGTGAGCAGTCGGCGGCCTTTTGTTTTCTGGCTGTCGCCTGGCTGTGCCTGGCTGTGCCTGCCGCCTTGAGCCCGGTGTGACCTTGCCTCCTAAGGACATTGCAGTACTGCTAAGGAAATGCCATCCAAGGACCCACACGGATGGCAGACTTGCATGGCGAGACTGGCCATCACCTCCTGGTGATAACTCATCCATCACCTTAGGCTACCCGGGCGGGAGACCAGGACCCAGGGCCCAGAGACAGTCTTGGCTTGGTTTTCTCAGATTCAGGGGCTTGCTCTCCCTGGCTTTCCTCAGGCAATCATAAAGCCGATCCCAAAGAGCCGACCGCTCCCACAGTTCTCGGGATGCCTCCCCAAGGGCTGGGCAAGACGGTCGTTGCTCCGAAGGACAGTCAGGCAGAGGGGGCGCTGGGCCCTTCTGACATTTTTCCCCTAGTCTTGGCACAACGGCAGTGCCTCAGAAATGAATCCCCGTGACGGCGGGGAGCGAGGCGAGGCGGGCGGCCGGGCCCCCTGGCTTTCAGCCTATGCAGAGGTCCTGGTCCCCGCTCCTGGTCCAGGGGAAGAAGCCCCAACATGGCGAAGCCGGCCGCCGGTGGCGATGGAGCGGCCCCGGGTCGGCGCCTAGCACGGACAAGGGTGGGGTGGATCCGTGGCCCCAAACCTCTACCTTCCCACAGAGATTTTGTGTTTCACCCTGGGGAGTGCTTCTTCCTGTACGGATAACAGGAGAAATTCCAGGGAGCCTGTTCAGTGCGGGCCTTGGAGCCCTCCGGGCGTTAGGGGACGGTCAGTGTCCTCCACGCGCGCGCTCGCCCGAGGTCCCCACCCCACCCCACCCTGGCCCCTCGCAGCCGAGGCCCCCGGCGGGCGCCGCCGGCCCCTGCCCGCTCCGCGGTGCCCCGGGGAGCGAGTCGTGACGGAATTACCTGAGAGAGAGGCGCACTCCCGGCCGGGCCCAGGGATCCCGCCCAGCCCCGCGGCCCAGGCCCTGGCCCCGCCGGGTCCCGCGTTCTCTCTGGCATGGTGGGAGTCCAGGGTCTCCGCCTCGGGGCCTGGAGTCGCTGGACCGAGCTCCCCCGCCCGCAGCGCACCGCGTCCGGCCCGCGCGCCCCAGCCCACCCGGGCTTCTGAATTCTGGGCGGCCTGGCGGAGTTCAGGGGTCACTCGGGTTTTGGTGGTGAAGGGCGGCCGGGCGCGGGAAGCACTGAGAGCCGGCGAGCTGGGTCCCTGCGTCCATCGGACCGGGGACTAGGGGACTAGGACCGGCCAGAGAGGCCGATGAGAGCCGGGCGGTTCCACGACTCCCGCGGGGATGCGCCTCGGACAGCTGGGGAGGGGAGCGCTCCACGGGCGGGGACTCGGGCGTCCAGGGCCCACCAGGCCTCCCCTGGGCACCAGGAGCTCTCCCGGGAAAGCCGGGTGCTTGGGCTGTGGCGTCGGGGTTGGGGGTCGGCCCTGCGCCGGGGACACCGGCCGTGGACCGAGGCTTTCCGGACGAGCCAGAAGGATTTTCGGTGACCCTGAGCTCATCCCGTTTCTTCCACTTCCCTGTATTTCGTTTTTAACCGAGGGCCTTCTCTTTCCCTTTTCGGATCCGGCACGGCACTCGGCGGCTCTGAGGGCCGGAGGCCGGTTCTGGGATGGGGAACGCAGTCCCCGCGGCGTCCGGGCAGCCCATTCCGGTTACCTGCAGGGCAGGGGCCGCAGCCAGTGCCCGCCTCCACTTAACCAGAAGCAGGCGCGCTGGCGGCGGCCGGGACGCGCACACCACAAGTTCAAACCCGCATTCTCACTCCTGGCGACAACCTCGCTGTTGCACAAAGCTGTAACCCAAAACCCCAAACCAGGCGTGCCAGTGCTGGGTGGTGGCTTAATGCATACAGAGACACGTTCTAAATCATGCCAGAGACAACGCAAAACAGTTGGGCGCATCCCACGAAAGTGGCAGGAAACAACCGGAAAGGGAAGATGTAAGGTCGGACTCTGCCGCGACCTCCGCCTGGCTGCTTCCAGACCTGTAGGGAGGACAGCCACCTCCCTTTCGTGCCACCAAATGGTCCAAGTCTCCCCCCACGCGTCTGCATGCCCAGATCTTCGACCAGTACCCTGAGCACCTCTCATGTTCCCTCCTGAACTGCCTGCCAAGGTGCCCTGATAAAGCCTGATTCTCCCAGCTGCCTCCTTTCCGCCTTGGGTTAGTGCAGATACAAAAGATGGGGAGCCCTGGGACTTCCTCCCGAGATGGGGAGAGCGCAAACCCCAAACAAAACCCACCCTGATGTTTTTCAGTAGTAGGCTCTGAAACTACACAGATTATGGGATTTGTCTCGGACAGAATTAACTTTACATGTGAAACCAGAGTGCGCCTGTGTATTGAGATGCGTTGTGTAGGATTGCTTGGAGCATCTCTTTCAAACTGCGTGTTAATAGCAACGTGAGATCTTAAATAATAATGATTTTTTTAACCTTATGAAAACAAAATCTAGACAGTGTTTGGGAAGAGTAGTTTCTCGGGGCGGTGGGGGGGGGGGGAGTAGTTCGAAGGAAAAGGAACCAAACCAGGCACTGGAGGGAGCTTCTATATGCAGAAGTGGCTGGAGAGGGGGAGGAAGCAGGCAGGCATTGGAGAGGGCTTCCCCAGGCACCAGTCCCCACAATCAAGGGCCAGACTTCCTGTCTTGCAAGCACTGTGTTTTAGGTTGAAAAACCAACCCACTGCTGACTGCAAACAAACAACAAGCAAATTCAAATAAAGGAGCCCCAAGTCCAACCCATTTGATCAAAGACAACTGTAGGTGCCAGGGCAGCCTGGCTGTCACTGGGGGAGGGTCACTTCAAATTTTGTTTTTCTCCTAGAGGGAAAGTCAAACAGCATGAGGTCACTTTCATTCCTTAATCTTCTCCACCCTTTACCTTCAATTCTTAGTGGAAACATTATTATTTTTTTTTTTTGGGTGGGGGCGGGGGAAGAATCCCACAGCAAATATAATGGGTGAAGTTGGAATTGACTTCAGTTTCTGCACCCCAAGGGAAAAAGGGCGTCCTAGAATCAGATGGGATCCTGCTTTCCTTTGTCTATTGCAGGATTGGGAAGGGGGCTTTACCCTTAGGGATTTCTTAGTCTACATCACAAGGAGGCATTTCCAGCCAAGGACTTGTTTAAAAATAAGATCCCAGCGTCTAGCAGTCATAGAGCTGTTATTTTGCCCCCTCTTGGACTGCCCATGAAAGGGACCAGCAAATGCCACCTTTGGGACCACCCAGGTCCCTCAGGTAAAGGCTGGGAAGTGCCTCTTAGAGATAGACCCCAAGTGGGGTGCAAGCGCCCTGCCCCCATCCTCCCAACGGGAAGAGTCAAAATCACTCATCACAGCCTTGAGTTGTTTAAAAAAAAAAATCTGTCCCTAGAACCAATAGTCACATTTTCGGATCGTGGACCATTAATAAAAATCTCCTTAACATTCAAATGGTTGTAAAATGCGTTGACAGCAGATTACGGGGGCCTAATGGACGTCGTGCGTGTGATAACGTGGTCCTTGCGAGCCGAGGTTCCAGAATGGCATCTGACCACAGCCACCTGATTATCAGCTTAGAGCCAAACCACACTTTAGCTGCGATGCTCTTAAGAGGGGCTCTCGCCGGCAGAGCGTTCTTCATCTAACCGGTTTAACAACCGCTCGGTGTCCTGGAAAAGGGAAAGCGAGGCCTGCCCGCCCGCAGGCGCCAGGTCACCGCCAGGTGTCAGAGGGGCAGGTCGGAGGCCTGGGCTCCTCCCCTCCCCGGCGCTGTGACCGGGCGATGTCCTCGGGGCGGTGGCTCTGGCACGTCGAGGTCCAGCCCCCGGCGCGTGGCCCGCGGCGCGCTGGACCTGCAGGCACCAGGAGGGAGCGGGTCCCGGGGTTCCTCCGGAGAACTGGGCAGGCAACGGCCGGGTGTTTCCATTCTCCAACCCAGCTCCAGCCTCAGCCGCGGTCCCCGGGAGCTGTGCCTCCCCTGGCTGCAGGGTGCACACCGCATCGCCCTGGAGCTCCCCCTGGACCCCGCGCCTCCCTCCGGGGCTCCTGTCACAGGGTCCGGGGAGAGCACCGAGGGGTCGGGGGGCTGCTCGGGAAGCAGAGAGGCTGTTGTCTGGCCCGCTGCGTAGGACAAATGGGGTCGCCGCTCCTGCCCCGCATCTCCGATGGGCATCACCCGCGGGAGCAAGACTCGAACCCGCACGTGCCCCGGCCGCCAGGTCGCCTGCAGGGCTGCAGCCGGGGTCGCTCAGGCCTGGCGGGACGGAGGCTCGGGCCCAGAGGCGCGGAGCAGTCACGGGGCCGGGGAGCTCCACGCCTGCCTCCCGCCACCGCTTCTGTGGGCCCGCGACCAGCCGGTGTGAGAGTGGGGGGCCGCGATTCCGCCGTCCGTCGCCGGACAAACGAGCGGACTCCCTGTAGTTCCTCGTGTTGAAAAGGGCGGGAGGCGGACTTGGCTCCTGGCTCCTCGGCCCGGCCGGGCCTGCACCCCGGAACCGAGTGTGCCAGGGCCCGCAAGACGCAGCCGGCGCCGTCCCCGGGCGTCGCGGAAGTGCTCCCCGGGCACTCGGGGCCTGGGAGGCCGGCTGGCGGCCGCTTCCGGTTCCAATTCGAGGCCTCACCAGCTGGCGCGTGGAGCGGTCGCCACCCGTGCCAGGGCCCGTTTAGACGGCTGGTTTAACGAATTGGCCTAATATGAATTTGACTTAGAGCTTTTGAACACTACGGGTGCGCGTATAGAGCCCTCCCTCCCGCACAATTCCTTCTTGGCTTCGAATCCAAGTAAGTTTGATGACATCTGAGTGATGTTGGGCTCTGGGCTTCCTGCCATGCTTGGTGTTACGGGAGGCAGAGGGTTGGACAAAAATGAAATAGAAATAAATATATTTGACTATCAAAAGATATATTTAACTAGACGTCTCCGGTGAAGAGGTAATTTTGGAAGGAGCAATCGCAGTTACTTTTAAATAGATGTAAGTGTGTCATGGAAATGCATCTTTCAATAGATCCTGTGATGGAATCGATTTTATTTTTACTAATAGCCTCAGCTGACCACTTGACGCTTTAGGAGCCTAAGAGGCACTGGGCCTGTCTGTTAATCACCTTCAACCAGAAGCCTTCGTCTGGTCTGGCAGCTGTGTCGCCAGGACCTGAGAAGTGGAAAACTTGGCACAGTCGTGCACGCACCAGTTTCAAGGACAGGCAGTTTCAACGGATTGAACTACTAATCTTGATCTTTCTTTTTTATTTATTTATTGTAAAATGTATTTATTTATTTGAAAGGTAGAGTTACAGTGGGGGAAAGATCGTCCAGCCACTGGTTCACTCCTCCAGATGGCTGGGACTGGGCCAGACCTAAGCCAGCAGGGGGTAATCCCATCCAGGTCTCCCACCTGGGTCTTGGGCCGTCTTCCACTGCTTTCCCAGGTGCATTAGCAGAGAGCTGGATCAGATAGCAGCTGGGACTCGAATCTGCTCCTGCTCATTTTAAATAGGTGCATTGCATTGGTTCTATTTTTCTTTTCCTTCATATATATTGGTTAGAGAGGAGAGTGGTAATAACACACATGCCTGAGTTGATATCTTTTTCTGAGATTCTTGGACTTGTGGTTCAGGTAGCTTTTGGGGACAGTTGTTCATGGTTAGGTTTTATAGAATGAGTTAATTCCTTCGATTGTATGGAAATTTTTTTTGTCTAGGTGTAGAATAGTTTTTCTGTCCTATAGAAGAGCCAAAGCTTTCACCAAATTCCCAAAAGGATCTGAAACCATCCATAATTAAGAGTCATTGGTGTTTATGATGCACATGTGGTTAAAAAGGGTGAACTTAGAAACTTATGTATTTTTTGGTGACAACTGGACACGATGGCAGCACGATAAAATTTAAATATAACTTTTTTTTTTTTAATTCCCACTCATCTCTAAATTCTGCCCATTTAGGCCTAATTTGAATTATTGTTCATGAGGCTATTTATATATGACAAATTGTTAATTAACAGGAAACTAGGTAAGCATGATTTTTTTTAAAGAATTATTTATTTATTTGAAAGGCAGCAGCAGTGGGAGGACTTTCATTCTCTGGTTCGCTCCCTGAATGCCGGTAACAGCTGGGAGTAGACCAGGCTGAAGCCAGGTGCTGGGAACTCCGTCTGGGTTTCCCACATGGGTGGCGGGGACCCAGACACTTGGGCCATCAGCTGCTGCCTTCCTGGGTGTGTTAGCAGGAAACTGGATTGGAAACAGAGCAACAGGTGCTTGAGCTAATGCAGACATCCCAAGTAGCAGCTTAATCTTCTGCACCACAATGCCTGCTCCAAGAGGGATTTTTAATAGTGTTGACACAAGAAATGTAAAGTAGAAAATGTAAGCAGAATTTTAATTATTCAGATTAAAAAGTTTCTTTAACCAAAACAAACCAAACAACAATACCAAAAAAACCCAATTGTCTGGCCCTGATTAAACATTTTGGGACATTTAATCTGAATTGATTCTCTCTGTGCATGTGTGTGTGTTAATACATAAATTGACCAGCCATGCCTCAGTTTCCAAGTTTTTAAGTTTGATGTTTGTCAAAGGTGGATGAAACGATAGGCAAGGGAGGTGGGACCTGTGCCTTAGAAGGAGGACATGGCTATAGATCAGATGGCAGGATCAACTGCAGGGGACCCAGGGCTGAACTGAGACTAAATACTCAGAGGCCTGTCATTCAGGATACACAGACCTTGCCCATTCCCCCGACCCAGAACTCCCCGGCTTACTTCCAGCCTTGTCTGAGAGGATATCTTCCATTAGTGCAAGAGGGGGTATAATCTATGGGTTTATTTAGCATTTGATCCTTGTTCGGAGGCTTCCATTTAGAGGAACCATTGCAGCTAAGATTTGGATCTGGTCCCTAAAATAGCCTGAACCTGGTGACCTCAGGCAAGTAGACGCAAGATACTAGCAATTTATTTCATATCAGCTCCCAAGCCATCACCAGATGATAACAGCCCTTGGACACTGTTAATCTCTGCTTGATTCAAACTGGTGACCGCAAGGTGAAAGGCAAGGGTGTTATCTCTGAGCAATTCATATGGCCTTCCACAGATTGCTAGTTGGACCAATACAATTGAAGCCTCTTCTCCAGTGGTTACTTTAAAAATTTCATATCCAAAGTCTTTGGTCTTTGTTGGACTGGAAGGTAGGAGGGCTTTATCAAGGAAAATGCCCGAGGGCCAAGATGTGGGAGCTTAGAATCCAATACAAATTAGAAAGGTTGGAAAGGTAACTGTGTGTGTGCTGCCTAACATCACTGTGACCACGACTAGAAAAAGCCTCTGGAAAGAGATGTGTTCGCCAAGCAGCACAGGGAAAATACACCTTGAGAAATGAAAGGCCAAGTCTTGTCTTAGAATTGTTTTGTTTTGAAATTGGCTTTCTTTTCCCAATCAGTAAGGTCAGTACAGATCACTGTATGACCATTCAGCATCCGTCTGGGGTCAGATGGGGCTGGGGAAAGTGGGGAGAAGCATGGAAAATAAAGGAAAGGCATGCGCTGGTGAACATAAGCTGTCCTTTTGGTGCCCAGAGGAAAACCAGGCTAAGTGGCTTTTGGGGTTACTAATACTATTTGTACTTAGCAAATATGTAGGGTGAACATTTTAACCTTATATTCCAGGGTACTCATCTCTAGCCCAAAGTCCTAGAAATGTGCGTTTACTGCTTGGTAGAATTATTCTACCCTTGCTACCCAAATATCCTAGTTATGCTTCTGTTTGGTTTTGTTAGATCACACTAGAGAGTACTGTCAGATGAAAAATTAAAGAGGTTTCAAAAATACTGCAGATATTTTAATAATCTTTATTTTTAAGGTCTGGTCCATGCATTGGAATCAGGTTATTGATAGTAAAAATATAAACAAATTACTTTAAGTCTTTTTAGCAATAAGCTCTTTTGGATAGGATCAAAAACCAACTTGACATACACAGAATTTAGAATTGTTTTAAACAAACAATGTCCTCAACAAACAATGTCACAGAGACATCCCATCATATTGTTCTATAACTTCATTCCTACATCCTTTGTTTGCTGCTCTACCTTTTTAATTAACTGGTATTTGCACATACTACTCCCATTGTTTGGTATCTTTTCCCCAAAAATGATACACTAAATAAACACTAAGAATAATTACTAATGGGGCAACAGTTGTTGCAGGGTGGATGCATTCTATGACATTCCTAAAAAGTCACTGATAAAGTGGTGTGTTTTGTTATATTGTGTAATTGTCTAAGTGATTGTGGAGAAACAGGGTGTGGAATAAACACTGAAGTGTTGTTACTGCTTAAAGTCAGCTTGGCTCCATTGTCCTGCTGACACAAGCTTCAAACAGCATAAAGAGAGTTCAACATTTGCCTGGCCATGTAAACCATCATGGTTAGAGGGTTTGCAAGGGATTGCAATCTCAGGACTATCTTTCCATGGTAGTGTCTGTGTGCTCCATGAAATGGGAACCGAGTAGAACCTGGATTCTAGAAAGGGAGATCCGGCCTCTCTTCTCTTGGTCTAGTGCTGCCACATCTTGATGATGATGGTCTTCATGGTGGTGATGGGATTGATCACCCACATTGGAATTATTTACATGTATCTTAAACCAATCAGGAGAGCACTAGACTAGGTAATTTACTCAGCCTTTCAAGATCTATCTAGACTTGAACATTTACTACTTTCTAGAGCTCAGCTTTCATTTTAGATCTAGAGCTTTCACCAGTGTGCATTTCATTGATGCCAAGAGGAAACTGTGCCTTCCCTTGTAGAACTATGGTCTCTGCTCATCCTGCTCCTCTTTTCTGAATTGAACTTTTATTTATTTGAAAGGCAGAGAGAGAGAGAGAGAGAGAGAGAGAGAGAGAAGGAGAGATCTTTCATCCTCTGGTTCACTCTCTAAATGGGCACAACAGCTGGAGTTGAGCCAGGATAAAGCCAGGAACCAGGAACTCCATCTGGTTCTCCTACATGGGTGACAGGAACCCATGTAGCTGGCTATCATGTGCTGCTCCCAGGCTCATTAGCAGGGAGCTAGATTGGAAAGAAGGAGCTGGAGTTGGATTCCAGGCACTCCAATATGGGAAGCAGGTGTCTCAAGCAGTGCCTTAACCTGCCACACCACAATCCTCACCCCTAAAACATTTCTTAGGAAGGCGTTTAGACTTCCAGGTGCCTTAGAAAACCTAAATCAGGGGGCTGGCGCTGTGGCTTAGTGAGCTGAGTTTCTACCTGTGGCGCTGGAATCCCATGTGGGCACTGGTTCTAGTCCTGGCTGCTCTTATTCTGATCCAGCTTTCTGCTATGGTGTGGAAAGCGGTAGAAGATGGCCCAAATGCTTGGGTCCCTGCACCCACATGATCAGTGCAGATCACCTTCAGATCAGCGCAGCTGCGGCCATTGCGGCCATCTGGGGATTGAACTAGTGGGTGGAAGACCTCTCTCTCGCTCTCTCTCTGTCTCTTCCCCTGCCTCTCTTTAACTCTGCCTTCCAAATAAATTAATCTTTTTTTAAAAAGAAGATAGATTATATAACATTATCTACTATATATCAAACTATTGATGTGGCATAACCGCATGGCTAAATTCATTTTGTGTTTGTCTTTTGTTCAACACTCAAAGTAATCATAGGATTTTAGAAATCTGTGAATATGTTTGGAAAGAAGGAAATAAGAGCAAAGACAAGTTTGACAAGGGGATCAAGTTTTAACAACACAAATCATACTACTGTTTTTGTAGTCCTCTCCACTTAAGATCTAGAAT